CTTCAGAATTCAAATGAGACTGAATAAACAATTTAAATTCTGTAAAAAGTAAACATTGAAAAATCCTTTATCCTTGTTTTGGATTAAGGATTAAGTGTGTTTACCTCTAATCGATATTCCCAATTTAAAATATAGCATAAACAAATATTTATCGATAAAAACAATAAGACAAAATAAGAGCAGAATTTTATTTTATCGAGAAAATGAAAAAAAAAATCAATTGGGTGGAATTTTTTCTTGGCAGTGTATATACGATTTGTCTTGAGAAAAATATGGGATAAATTCTGCTTTTTTCTGAACGGAATGAGTTTTATTATATTTTTAGCGTTTTTAGGCCAAGGATAATATTAATTAACGGTCACTAATCTCTACACGATAATATTAATTATATTAAGCAGAAATGCTTACTCAAATTGATGTGGACACATTCACGAGTGTCCATTTTGTTTTCTTATGTCGGCTTTTATTTTTAAGCATTTATTGAAGCAAAAAAAGGAGGTCAAATTCGCAACCTGTGTGTAAGTACATTTATTAGTTATATCATTATCTTGATTATAGTCAATATATGTCGTACAAATTCTTTGTATGCCAGTGATTTATCCCTTAAGGTGATACACAAGGAAGCTTCGGACCTCCCGTAGCAAGACCAACGACCGAGCCATACGGCCGTCAGAACCGGGAATTTGGCGGAGGTCGAGAAGTTGGAATTAGACATTTTACAAACCGATTTACCGACAATTTATTCTAAAAGATCTCAACACAGTGCAATTTTACATCTGTGATATTATTCCTACGATTATCAGTATTTGTAAATTTATAATGCTATGTTTTTAAAATAAATTGACAAAACCGTCCTATTTACGGAGTACGCGTACATCGACGTAGTACTGCCAGTAGGCACTAGAAAGCACCTCTTTACGCTTTCAGAATGGCCAGGCATGCCCAGTCGCCCTTTTTCACCACTTTCAACCCCATGTCTTGACGAGAACGGCATGACGATTTCACCCTGTGCCCTTTTAATTAAATTTCATATTATTAATGTAAAACATTGATATTTTTAAATTTGATTTATCAATTTTAGTTCTGTTGTTTTCTGCACGAGTAAGGATCTTCTTCTATAAAACAAGATGAAAATATTTTTATAACATATTATTTAAATCGTACCTCAATACATCGGGTTATTGGGTTAAATTTATCATTTGGTTCGAAATGGGAAACATGACGCTTTTTCATCCATAACCTATATTTTCAAAGAAAGCCTCTTTTTACAATTTTACAAGTGGTAAATTTAACATATTAATGTGTAGAGATTAGTGACCGTTAATCGATAGTTATTCAGATATTAACTTTACTTTGCCCCCCCCCTTATTGTCATTATAGCAATAATACTTAAAGTTCTGAGATTAAACCACTTTCTTCTTTTACATCATAATTTCATTCCTCTAGCATAAAATCTGGTCCTAACCCACTGAGACGCAGCAATGAAGCACAAAAGAGACATAGTTGAACGATGGGAGAATAATCTCTATTCAATTAATTGACAAATATATTGACTCCGTTTACAACCCCTCCTTTAGGAGAATTTCCTCATTTTATTTGTAATGAAATTTGCTTCAAATTTCTTCCATTGCCAAGAAGAGAATTATAGTGCAGTTCTATAGGCAGTGCCTCAATCGACCGCACACATAATTATGCACAATCTGCAATTTGAAGGTTAACGAAATTTTGGCACACATAATCTGTGCCTAATGAATTCGTTGTTAGGAAAAAATTATTTACTAAACTGGTTAAGATTGCACCTCCATTGCTCAGTAGTGACTAGAAATTATATGGTTATAAATGGGAACTGATGTTAAAAAATAAATGACTTATGTTATTGTACCCTGATAGACAAATTTACCTCACCATTCAATTTATTTTTAAAATTAAATCCATTATCTTTAAACATTAGTTACAGGGAATTAGAAGCTATCGTATTCAAAATAAACAGTAAATAATACCTTTTTCAATTAATTAATCTTTATGTAAAGTATTGGTTGAGATAAAAAAAGTCAGTGTCACGAGAGTGATTCGAACCCACGATCTTCGGCTCGTGACAAAATGAAGTAAATAATACTTTATTTACTTTTATACTGATTAATCCTATCTCCACAAAAAGTAGCATTATGCCCCCCCCCTAAGAACCTAGTATGACAGTGTCAGGGTCATAACATTATTGGATGAAGGATAAAACCAGCGCGAAGACGCCAGGAGTCGTCTTCAGGCTTTTCGAAACCGCATCGTTACCGGAAACGAGATAAGAAATCGGATATGACAAGCCCGAAATATTTCGATTTCCTCCAGGGCTGTAATAAAAAGGTTAATGAAAATAACCTCAAGGCCCGGCACCCTGGTCTTGTACCTCTTGTTACCACAGCTCGGAAAATGGCCGGGCTTCGCATGGAAACATGTAAATTGGACATTGGAAGATTGTGGACGAGTTGTCTTAACCTATGAGGTGACAGTTGGCCTCAAATCTTCATATGGGCGTAATTTCATATAGAGACGGTCAGGAGGAAGGTATTCAGTATGCAAGTGGCATTGCATGGTGTGTCATTGATGTTCTGGGGCGCCACTACCGAATTGGTTGTTGTGAGGAAGATCTCTAACTTCCCAGAGGTGCTTAAAAGACAAAAGAAGAACATGTGGTGCCTTTACCTCCCACATCGGTGAGAGCTGTCGATAAACCAGGATAATGCCAGGCTGGTGTGTAGTCTGGTGAATGACTACCTGACTGAAGTAGGAATTGAGCAGTTGGCCAGCTCAAAGCCCAGATTTGAACCCAATCGAATATATTCGGGACCAACTTAAACCACGAGTACGACTGCGGAACCCATGTCCTAACTCCTAGAAAAGTAGGAAACGGCTGTTCTTGATGAAGAGGCAAGATTTTTCAGAATTTTATCATAAATATTTTCCAAGGAATGCACAGGCGTTTAACGGATTCGTGCCTGAAGTGGAAATAGACTTTTTTAAGATTTTCATTTGTTTATGAATTTTATGTTCTTTTTTTCTTTATTCAATAATTGTTTTATATTATTTTTTTAGAATTAGGTAATAAATTAATAATAAATAATAAATTTAATGGTGGCATGTTAAATTTTATTCATTCATTAACCTTTGCCTCCTGATACGGTCATTATGCAAATTACATACACGAAAAGTTCGGAGATTAAACTATTGCGTTTGTTACATCAAAATCCATCCTCAAGCATAATACCTGGTCCAAAAGTACCCAGTTTCCTAAAACCTCGTTAGAGATGCGAACCTGCGCTACAAATGCGCACGGAGTTGGTGAAAAAAAGAGGAAAATCATGCAATCTTAACATTAATTTTTTTTTGATAACTTACTGGAATCCATGGAAAAATTATTCTTCAATTTAATTATTTGTTCAAATAGTTACGTGAATAAGTACTAAAGGCTCCCTACAGGGAGCGTGTAGGCTTGCCATCCAATCTGAAGATGGTACTCGAGCACTGCAGCGAGTTTCAGGGTCCCCTGTTCCGCTTTTTAGGGGAAATTGGGTTTTTTTATTGTATATAGTATGTCTTATGTGTCGTGTGTCTATATGTTTTGTCTGATGGCATGTATTTATTAGCGTGAATGGCGAGGGATGAGGGTGAAATTTAACGTCATCATCGCCCCTCGAACGTTGAGAGCGTATGAGTGTGTATTCGGGGTCGATGGTGGAATATTTATAAAAGTACCACTTATCGACCCCAATCTAGATAAGTTTGAGTATAGGTACTTGACATTCCTCCACCGACCAAACGGAATGAGTGTACTGTATTTATGTGTATGAATGTATTTATTTGTATGAATGTAATGTTTGAACGTGTAAATACAATATTGACTTAGTTTGGGGCTGAAATGACCTCGATGTCGGAAGCCCCAGTAAATAAAAAAAAAGAAGTACTAAATCGTGAAATAGCAGAAGCAAATAGTTTTACTGCTATAGGTGATTATATGAGGACTAATCAAACCAGATAAAACTTAATTATTGTGATTAATTAACATCTGATTCAATATGGGAAACCATGTCGCTTTTCCACTACCCGTATGTTTTGAAAGAAACCTCTTTTTACAATTTGACGAGTAGCAAATTCGACATATTAACTTTTCCTTGTCTCCTGATACGGTCATTATGCCAATAACACGGAAAGGTTTTGCATAAATTTGGTGTAAGCATAGATTAAACCTACTTCTGTTACATTTCAATTCCATTCCTCTAGCATAGCCCAAACGTGGCATAACACAACATTGATTTTTTATTATAACTGTCGAACGTTTTGTGTTTAAACAATTTGGCATTGACCCGAATAAACGATATTTTGAACGCGTTGTATCCGGCCAATATGGTGGGTGAGCACGTCCCGGAACGAGTGGAACAAATACGCGATTAAATATCATATCTAAACGTTCACTGACAGCTTCTTTTTCACTCGGGCCGCTAAATTTATTTTCCTTTCGGCTCGAGTAGCAATCTTATTTGCATGAAATAAAATGTAAACGTCTTTTTGTCACTTCTTGTGGAATTAACGCTCGCGCCAATGAATTGATTACACAGTAAAGAGTAAATAATAGAACGTATGGAAAAAATAAACAAAAGGGGGAAATTTAATATACTGTAAGATTAGTTAAGAAAAAACATGGACTAGTTAGCCGGTACTAATCGTGGGATAAGTCCATATCCATGAATAATTGATCCAGTCAATCTAAGTCAATTATTTATAATTATCGTGTATTATGAGGCCGAATTCACTAATTTACAACATATATGACATATTTTTTAATGTTAACTGGCCTTGAAGTTTCAATCAGTTATCTCAGGTTTCATTTATTTTATGGAGCAAAATTACTCCATAAAATAGTGAAACCTGAGAAAATTGTTACGGTATTCCTCGGTTGTTTTTTTCTTAATAGTTAACAGCTCGAAATTTAATGACATAGTCTCACTTACTTTTAATTCCCCTGGGATGCCATTAAACACTTTCATAAGCGAAATCCTTCCCATGCGAGATAATCACCAAGGACGAACACCTCTGTTGATCGAACTGTTGACAGCCCACACCAGCATGAATAATCTGGCACAGTGGGCGGGTAAACAGATAGTTGAATCAAGTTATAATCCCATTTATTTACAAAATTACAATGTATCCTAATTTTCGACGTGTTGACAATAACAATTACAGTTATTTCAAAAACTGAACAATACAAGTTGACGTATATGCCTATATATTATAAACATTAAATAATTACCTGTAAATTTAATTCACAATTAATTACCTGATTATCCGACTATGCCTTTTTTTCTGCTGCAAAGTTAGTTCATTTTTTTAAAACTTATAAATTAAGAACAATTTTGTTTAAAAATGTAAAATGTTTGTGTGTAAGCCTAGTATGACAAGCAAAAAAAATTTATCAATGTACAAATGATAATAATCCGGTTTAAAAATAAATGTCTGGGGTAACAATAAAAATCTGTTAATTTTTCTTATATCTGTATGAACAATTTAAAACAATTAATTGAATTTTATGAGAGAGAAAATCAACTCCACGCCAAACAACCATGAAAACTACTAAAAAATAATAATAAAATTAGGAAAAATTAATGCGATGTGTTATTATTAGGTAATGTTTTTAACTAGACTTTTGTGTTTGTTTACAACCAGAAAGTAACAGTGTTAAAGTTTGATTTGGACTGTTAATTTAAGGGAAGGTAAAATATGACTGGAATCATATTGTGCGTTAATATTCTTCTCATTTTGGGTAAAATAAGGAAAATAGGTCCGTCTTGGTTTTTCAACATTGCCTGGACTCAATAGGCAAATTACATCAATAATTTTTAGCACGTGGAAATATTTCCCGTGGAAGGATGTTCCGTCAGTCGCGACATCTTCCGGCTGTAGAATGATTCCAACGCCTAAGAACTCACTAGATGGAGCTTTAATTGTGGAGATCTATGGTCGGACATGAAGCAAAAGTTTGACATGAATGAAAGTTTAAATAAAATAAAAATGTGTGGTGATTAGTGACCGTTAATCCATATTTATTTAAAATCGTGAGATGCGGTCTGCTGTGATGTAGGTTTCAGAAAAACGTTTTCTTTATCGTGCCAACGTTTCGATCTTTATTGAGATCATCTTCAGGGCCTGGGATTTACAAACATTGTTTACCTATAACAATGTTTGTAAATCCCAGGCCCTGAAGAAGATCTCAATAAAGATCGAAACGTTGGCACGATAAAGAAAATGTTTTTTCTGAATTCTACATCACACCAGACCGCATCTCACGATTTCTAAATAAATAAAATAAAAATACAATTGATTACTATTGGGCTTTCATGTCTGTTTACTCCCTTTTATAATGTCCCTGGTTCCTATTTTCTAGTTCTTTGTTTAAGCTTATGCCCAATACAATGTATTATAATTATATGTAGTTACATAAAGTATCGTTAGGGATGGTTAGGGGGGTTATGTAAAAGTCATATAAAATGTATATTTTTCCTTCAGCTGGATCCAGAACTTTGCCCTGGCTTTTTCGTGTTCTCGCTGTTTCGAAATTTAAAGACAATTTAAAATATTTAAAAAAACGACTGAACCAAAATTAATTAAAAGATATTCATATATCAATGCAAGACCCTGACCCAATAGAAGAATAATTATTGAAATTCAGGAAAATGGTTTTATTTGTTCTCATACCTATTCGATTTTTGAATTGCAACCTTCATTATAGTCTAAATGACCAGGAAGAGTTCTAGAATATTTTAAGCCTATTTTTTCCTAAATAGTAGAACTGTTTCTCTATGCACAGTTGCCTACAAAGATGGGCAAAACCGCTTTTTTAGGGATCGGGTCAAACCCACTCACTCAGTGAAATGAATCAGCTCTTTTTCACGGCTCACCTGTTTCCCTCACCAAAATGATATTACCCATAATTCCTTGGGTAAACTTTGGGCTTTTCGAATTTCAATTTGCCAGCGCCATTTATTTCTTTCATAAAACAATAACCTTGTAATTTTAATATCTTTTCCTGTGAACTAGTGAATAAAACAAAGTCATATATTTTCTTTATGCAATGTAAATAAACACTTTTCATTTTGAATTATAATTGTACCTAATGTTTCCTATATGCCATATTGGCACAAAATATTTCGACTAAGTAGGAAAAATGTATTTAAAACGCAACAATACACGCTTGTGAGTAATAACATCGAAAAAAATCAGCATAGCAGACAGACGGTTCATTCTATTGACCGTAACATTGTCCCTTTCCTGAACTAAACATTACATGGAAATTGATATTAAAAATATGTAACTGGAATTGCTGATATATGTAACTAGGTATTTTCCATTTTTTGGTGTTTTGCCCTACTGTTCGTCTGGTCTTGGCGTGAGTTTGGCTCGCTGTCTACCACTTTCAATTGCCACCAAGCATTGCCACAACTTTATGTGAATTCAGGCGCAGAAGAACATTGGTTAAATGAAGGTTCATAAAGAAACCACTCCAAAGACACGGACAATATGTTTAGTGAGAAGTTGATTAAAAATAATAATAATTAATTATTCTTTCTATGTAAGGTTTTAGTTGAGATAAAAAAGTCAGTGTCACGAGCGGGATTCGAACCCACGACCTTCGGCTAAATACGCCGAATAATAAGTCACGATAGCTCAAGTGGTAGAGCAGCGGCGTATAATAATTGAAAGAAGTAACTTGGTCAGTTGACCACTTATAACGTTGATTTCATAAAGCCCGCTATTTCTCCCCACCATGGAGACGAATAGAAAAGATAGACCTAGGTAAGATGAGATAGAGTTGACCGGCCCATTCTTGTTTAGAAAAGGTGAGAAGAAAAACGTGGCCCGTATTAAGTTTTAAAATTGATTATAAAGTGTTATCAGTTTATGTTTTTTTGATTTTAATTTAGTTAAAGGTACATTGTACACAACACACACAGTAAGTGTTTCTGTTTGGGCATGCACAAGAATTTTGGTTAATTTTTCCTTTGTGTATTTTTCTTATTCTTATTGTAAGCATTAATCTCTTTATAATTTGTGATTGGGAATTTATTTTTTTAATATAATTGTGATTAAGCATTGATCTTTTTTTATAATTTATAATTACAATATAATTAGTCTAGAAGATAAAATTTTTTGTTCTATTTATTCATGATTCACTGAGGTACGATCCTCCGACTACAAAAAAGTCAAATAATCACTACACACTAAAACATAAATTGATTAATAATAATAACTCTTGCCGTTTCTAATCGCTCCACTACCTTAACCATCTTTTCGTTTCAATAAGGATTCAACGGTTTTACAGAACTAAAGAAGCAAGGGTCAAAATTGATTTTCGTTCGACTTGTTGGATTAGTGAAGAGTGAATAGAAACATTAAAAACACACCATTAACTCTTTATTGGTCAGCTCGCCAAGAAATTTCGACAACTTGTTTACTATCTGACCTTTATTGCTAAATCCATTATATTTCGTGGTTTGATTGACCAAATAACTTCTTTCAATTAATTAATCTTTTTATGTAAAGTATTGGTTGAAATGAAAATACTAGTGCCACGAGCGGGATTCGAACCCACGCCTTTCGGCTCAATACACTGCTGCTCTAGCCACTTGAGCTATCGTGACTTCGATACACTTGGACACCAACTCCCAAACTCAACCTCACCTTTCGAATTTTCCCTCTTTTTTGCCATTTTTCAAATGTCGTGTAATCAGGATTCGAATCTCGGCGACATATGAATTGGCCACGGAGAACTTTTAGTGAAGATATACTTCGTTTTACTTATTAAATCCATTATATTTCGTGGTTTGATTGAGCAAATAACTTCTTTCAATTAATTAAGCTTTTTATGTAAAATATTGGTTAAAATGAAAAAGTTAATGTCACGAGCGGGATTCGAACCCACGACGTGGCCGATGGGGAGTCCGAGTGGATCGAAGTCACGATAGCTCTAGTGGTTAGAGCAGCGGCGTATCTAGCCGAAGGTCGTGGGTTCGAATCCCGCTCGTGACACTAACTTTATTGCTAAAGTTATCTGACATTCATATTTGCATGTATTATTAGCTAGATTACAAAGTTGAGAGATTACTATAACTTTTTTAATGAATAAACAAGTTTTCTAGTTTTGAACTATCTCAAAATTTCGCACCGAGCCGTTAGGAATTAAATCCACTCTTTTTCGAACCGAGGCTGCCTTTTTTTTCTTTTTTTCAATTAAGCAATCCGATCGTGTAGTCTGATGTTTTTTGTTCGGTTGTTCGAGTAATTTGGGCAATCGGGGATAAACGATTGGATCCGGCAAATAGGGCGTTTCTTTTGAAACTTATTCGTAAAATACACAGATAAAAAAAGAGTTAAATGGTCGGACGATGAACGCATCTTTGAGTTATTTCGGAATGATCCACCCCCTCGATTTGGTACGAACGGATAAATCGGGACCGGATACACATACCCATTATTCTGCTCGTTGCCGGCAATGTCGAGGGGTCTGGCATTGTTATTTTCCTCCTTTTTTTTCTTCTTATCACCTTGTACTTGTATTCATTTATACAACACAGGGTAATCGAATCAGAAAGAACGGCCACTTTGGTTTACTTTCAAAAAAATGTATAATTCTAGAAGGTAACGTGGTATAAAGTAGTTACTATTTGCTGTTATGGAACTGCAATATAAAAATATATATTAAAAGAATAAAATTATTAAGTTAGTTATGCGCACAATGACGATGATTAAAAGTTTGAAACAATCTCTACTGGAAAATGATATATTAAATGAGATAAAACCCGCAAAAAAGTGTAGGCCGAGTCTGACACTTACTAATTGATATGTCAGTTATTGATTACATACAGTTCATGTGGGCGTAGAGAATTTGTAATTTTTTTGCTGTTCTGGACAAGGATGCAATTTATGAAACGTGAGTTAGGACGTTGGCTAAAAAAAACAAGCAAAACTGATTCAATTATAATATCAGGTTGAGAGATTAACGATATATAACAGGCGTGGCATGCCTTGGCTCCCACAGAGAGCGTGTAGGCATGCCGC